TGTATGTCGGGTTCTGTTTCCATACTTGGGAAATTTTCTGGTATTATTTCTGCAAATATTCTTTGTTTATGTCAGTTGTGTTGCCTCCTGCTGTTTCATTGACACCTATAATTCGAACATTATTCCTCTTTGCCTCATCTTGCAGCTGTTGAATTGACTTTTCCTGGATCCTGGTTGATTTTATGAGATCCTTTCTTTCACGGTCTCTAGCTACCATGCTGTCTTCAAAGTCTGAGATTCTATCTTCAGCTTCATTCAATCGGTTTTGGCAGCTTTCAATGGCAGCTTTGTTTTCCTGGAAGTCTCATTGAAAATGGTTCATGCATTCTAATTTCTTTCTATATTTTTCATTGAATGCTTCTGTTCATTGCCTTTTTTCTTCTATTTTCTTATATGTTTCTTCTTCAGACATTTTGAGCAGTTCTTTCATTATTATTGTCATTTCATTTTTTGCCTGAGAGATTATTTCTGATCTCATCTCTTCTATGGCCTTATGGAGTTGTTTCTTTACTTCCATTGCAATTATTTCAGCTATTTCAGGCATGTGTTTAGCAAGTTTTCCTATGTTGATGTCTCCTGGACTTGTTCTGATTGGGGTGGAGTTCTGGGATTGTGTTTTAGTCCTTCATTTTGTCGTGTTTGCTACCGGATGCAGGAAGCTCAGTTTCCCTCTTCATTAGCTGCACAGCAAAGGTCACTAGTTTGCCTAGTTTTCCTGTTGGTCAGGTTTGCCCCTCAGTGTCTGCTGAGAAGCATTACTTAGTCTTGGGTTTTCTTTCAGTTGTTGATTTGTGTCTAATTATCCCAGGTCTCAAACATGGGCATTGGTGTCAGTTGATGGCAGACCATCTGATCCAGCGTCCCCCTGCACATCCTTTAGGGCACGTACAAGGCCCAGGCTCGAGTTGCACTGGTGTGGCAATCCTGGTCCAGTGGACCTATGTCCCCAGGCCATTCAGGGTACAGGCAAAACTCAGACACAAACTGCAGGGTTGACAGTTTGTGAACCACCTGATTCTGTGTTTCCAGTCAGTTCAGGACACATACAGGAACCAGATGTGGGCTGGACAGACAGCAATCACAGATTGCCCGTGCCTGTGACTCCTCTGGAGTCTGGGTGCAAGTAAAGCATGGACTTGAACTGTGGGACCAGCAGCTCTTGGAGCACTTGCTCACTCAGCACAGGGCACATGCAGGGAGGGCCCACTTGTGCACCCCAGCGAAAGCAGTCCCTGGGGCTTCTGAATGAGGATTTCCTGTCTGGTTCTCTCTGAGAGTTTCAGTTGGGAGCTGTGGAGTTGGGAGTAAAGCATGAACTTGAACTGCGTGACCAGCAGCCCTTGGAGCACTTGCTCACTTGGCACAGGGCACGTGCAGGGAGGTCCACACATGAACCCCAGTGAGAGCAGTCCCTGGGGCTTCTGAGGGAGGACCTCCTGTCTGCCATGGGTGCATAGAGGGCAGAGACTCAGACTGTAATCGAGCAGCATTAATTTAAAATATATGTTCTAGGAAGACAGTAATTTTTAGGGAGTAATATGAAGGCTCTATTCTATAGCACTAGATACCTGCCTTGCCCATCCCTCAGATTTTTACCTCCTCTTCCTGTTTAAACTAGCCCAGACTCTTGTTTTGCATCACTGTGCCTGTTCCTGGCTTTGGTGAAGTCGTGCTGCTGTATGTGGCAGCCTTTGTGGGCTTGTTCTACCTTGTGCACTGGTACCGGGAGAGGCAAGTGGCGAGCCACCTCCAAGACAAGTATGTCTTCATCAAGGGCTGTGACCTCAGCTTCAGGACCCTGCTGGCCAGACAGCTGGACATGGAGGGCTTGAGAGTGCTGGCTGCTTGTCTGATGGAAGAAGGGGCTGAGATCTGAGGAAGCAGATATCAGCATGGCTGGAGACAGTGATCCTGGATGTCACCCAGACAGAGAGCATTGCTGCAGCCACCCAGTGGGTGAAGGAACATGTGGGGGACAGAGGTACCACCCAGATTCCTGTCTGTGTCTTTGGGCTTCTTCTGTGTGTGTGAAGGGGAACTTTCTGTGTGCTCCCTGGTGAGATTCTAAAGGAATCTTGAGGAGATGATGCTTGAAGTAAGACTCACTTCCTTCCCCTCCCCACAGTGGTACCCTGAGCCCCTTCTCTTTCCTGTGGCCCTTGGAGCCCTTGAGTCTTGATGAGAGGGGCCCTGTTGGGATTCTGGCCTCTCTGTCCAGATTTCCTCTGTCCTCTGACTGCCTCTCTAAGTAGAAGCACTGGTTGCTGGATACTGAGTGCCCAGTTAACAATGGGGTATCTTTCAGGAGGAGGTCTGTGGACCGGCACCATGTGCAGTGGCTGGGGAAATGCTGGAGCTGAGCTTACGTCTTAGTACTGCAATTTGTTCTTACTGTGTCACCAGCATCCTCCATCTGGAGAGCTAAGTTCTTCCCATTTTCAGAAGACCTAGGAGATTAAACTGGCTTCAAAAAGGCAAACCTCGGGCTCACCTTTGCTTTCTCTTTCAGTAAAGTATTTTGTAAGTGTTGTTACTGAGAAGAGAGGAGCACTGTTTGATTTCATACAGGAATTAATGTCAACTGTGACTTTTGTCAAAAACACAGGAATGCATAAAATCTTAATATACAAACCGAACCAACTAGGGATAAATACCATTAAAAGTTTGTCTTATATGGGATTATTACTGTTATTTAAAAGCTTAACTGTATATGGGATTATATTTTGTGCACAGTTTATAGTTATTTTATCAGTCAATAAATGAATAGGAGTAGCTTAACATCCTGATGAAGATTTCTTCAAAAAATATAATTAATGAATTACACTATTCTATCATCTGATACAGCCTTACTTCTTTAAGCACACAGAATGGCTGGACATTAGAATTGTTTATACATCTCATTGTCATAAATGCTCTCTTGGTATTCTTTCACTTACTTAAATCCCTGTAGACACCTCTACCATTGGCTTGTAAGAGATAAAGTGTGCTAGCAATAGAATATGTTTTCCCCCAACATCAGTTCGTGTTTGGGGTCATAGGAGGCTCAGGATCCCTGGGAGTGCTGTTCCACACTGTCCAGCCAAACCCCTCACCATAAATGAAGTGGTTCGCTGCCCATGTAGCATGTTGGGAGGAAAAATACTATTTGTGTCTAGTGATAGTGCATGGGTCTTCCGGACTGGCCACCGGATAAGTGCCCTGGGGAAGAAACAGGATGAGCCAGGGTGACCTTCTGGGTGAGTGGAAGAGGGGTGCCATTCTCTATGGCAGAGACTGAGGTGTGTAATGGGAGTGGGCAATTGCATTCTGATCCCTGGTTTAAGATTTTCTGTTGGGTTTTGCAAGTGCACTCTCAGTTTTCCTGTTGGGTTTTGCAAGCACACTCTCAGGGAGGTAGCTCAATATCAGTGGCCCGGTTTCATAGGGTGAATCTGGTTTCTGCCTTCAATATAGCAGATGCTCCACAAATGCTGATCAGGTAATAAAAATCTCATGTCCACTAGGGACTGTGCATCACAGCCACTAGAGCAGTGTGGAATGGAAGAGACACAGGGTGCTGGAAGAATGGCAGTGCTTATAATTACAAGGACTTTAAAGTGAGGGTTGATGAGGGAAAATGGCTTCAATCTCCCACAAAAGAAAGTGCAGTGTGCTCTGTCCTTTCTCCACATTTCCTTGCTTGCCCATTCTTCTTTCTACTCTTGTGAACTCAAGAACTTGGGAGTTTTGAATTGGAAACTCTTGTCCTCATTCTGAGTCAGGAAGGCCTGAAAGTGGGCAGTATCTAGTTACTCCACAAGTAATCCTGCTCATCCTTGACATTCAAGAAGCACCTCTTTCCTCCAGTGGTAGCACCCCACCCCTTCTCCAACAATGTTTCACATCACTGGGCATGGTCCTCTTTTCCATTCCCAAGATTCTATTTATTTGATAACAAAAGTATCAAAATAAGCCATGATTTCAAGACAAAGAAATTGGTTTGTGTCTTCTTTTTACTGTTCCTCAGAAAAATGACTCAACACCCAAAGTCAAGTCAGTAAAAGTTTATTTAGTTCACAGTTTGAAATCATTTCAGTCCATGAACAGCTTCTCCAAGGTAGGATGACATGGAAGACAGGCATTGCAGAGGGAAAACACTTCATAACAGGCAGAAGGTACCAAAACAAAGGACCTTAGCAGCTGCTTTCTGACTCCTTTACACTCTGTCTAAGCTACCTGGAATAAGGCAATGCCAAAGTAATCAATGGACTCATTTAGTAATTGCACACCCTTAACTTCAGCATCACATACTCTAGATTCAGGCACCTCTGAAGCAGCCGCACCTATGATCTCATGGAGCACTGGGAGGATATCTAGACACAAACGATGACAATTTGTTCATCCTCTCACAGGATCTATGTGGAGGACAGATCTAGGACAAACCAATAAATGCCAAGGACACAGACTGGTGCTGCCCTCCCACCTGATTCCACCTACACAGGGATTGCAAAAGAGAGGGACCCTACATGTCCCAGACAATTTCTATGTTGTGGGAAGATAGACAGCATCCAAGGACAATGCATACACTCAAGAGGAAGGAAAGAAGAAGTGAGGCGTGGGCTTTGCATCCACCCACACACTTTCAGCCATCCCAGGCATGCAAATTCCTCATGGTTGGCCATATTGCTCAGAGCCATCAGCTCTGTCAACTGGGCATCAGTGAGTGATGTTGAGTCCCTATTCCTCACCAGAGGTCCTTGACTCTTTCCCTCTCACTTCACCAGTCTTGAGTGATCCCTGAGAAGAATTCTTGGCACAAAGAAGATGGGAATGGTGCCCCATGTAAGAGCTGCTTTCCTCCACCCATTTCCCTTTGCTCATATGTCCCAACCCACACTCTGCCCATCTCCCCTGATCACACAACCAAGAGTTGGCTTCACAGGGCTTGTGCTGGCTTTGGGGAGCCCAGGTACACAAAGGCATCCACCAGGAATGTGGGCAGGTAGCTCAAGGGGAGGTAAAGGAGCTTGGCATCCCAGCCTGCTGAGTACCGGGTGCGAGGGTGACAGGCAGTCAGCGCATGCTCCATGCAGTCTGTCACCACCGACAGGTCTGGATTGCACTGTTGCTCCATTACTTTCAATGATTTCAGACCTGTACAGAAAGAGAAATGATCCACATTTATTAGCACCTGACACCATTCCTGCTCTAGGATCAACTTAAGGACAAAGTTGTCCCTGCCAATTCATGCCCCCCACATCCAGAACCCACCTAAATCAAATCTCCCCAAACTCCCAGGAAGGGCCACAACTCCTTCTCAATCAACTGGGATCCACACTAAGCCTCCTCCACCTCTCTTTCTGAAAATATCTGGGCTGCATAAACTTTCTTTGGCATTTTGAGACAGGATTTTAATATGCAGCTCAGGCTGGCCTTCAACACAGTTTGTAGCCCAGGATGGCTGTGAACTCCCAGTAATCCTGCTGGCTCAGCCTCCAGACAGATGACATTACAGGCATGTGACAAAATGCCTCACATGGGCAGCACTAACCTGAAGGTCTCTTGAACACTGGAAATTATCCAAGCATGTACAATAAACTGCCTCTCATGACAGAGGGCCATGAGCATACATGTGTCTCCTCTCTTTCTTAATCTTATCCTTACGATAATGAGGGGTTCAGGTGAAAGAGGGCCACAATTTCTAATGAGCCAGAGGCCTTAAGTGACCAGAACCCATGTGGCATCAAGTTAATGGGACTCAATGTCCTCACTTTGTGGGGAGACAGAGCATGGGGCAGACCTCATTCTACTGAGGACATTAATAATACACTGAGGATTCCTAGCAGGGGTTTGCTTCTCTCCCTACTGTCCACAGCACACTTACAGGTTTCCAGAAACTTCTCGCCATAGATCTCCTTGACCTCTGAGCTGCTCTGGTCCCACGCCTTCTTAAAACTTGACATGAGTCTTTCACTACTGGTCACGTTGGTTTTGAAGAAACCAGGCTCAATAATAGCCACCTTCACCCCAAAGTAGGACAGCTCCCTCCTGCAAGGGACAGAGCAGCAGGCAGGGACTTCAAGAGCCTTGGTAGGCAAAGCACAAACAAGGAGATAGCACAACAATACCTTAGAGTAAGATTGAGATAGGAGGAATTTGTGAGCTTAGAATCTATGATGTGCAGAAGCTTGGATGAAAAAATGATGCTGCTGGCATTGTGACTGTGTTTATGAACATTTTTTTCAAGCATTCTGTGTATACCAGCCTAGTGTTGTATTCTATATCATCTTTATGAAGGCACTCATTAAAACTTATCTCTTGCTGGGCGTGGTGCCACACACCTAGAATCGCAGTACTTGAGAGGCTGAGGCAGGAGGATCCTTCCGGGTTTGAGACTAGCCTGGGCTACAAAGTGAGCTCAGAGCCAGCCTGAACTGCATAGCAAGGCCTTGTCTGAAAAAAGACCAAAAAATACCCGTATCTCTTGTTAGGCATGCTGCACACTCCTATAAACTAGCTTTGAGAGACTGAGGTAGGAGAACCACAGCCTTCAGGCTAATGTACACAACATAGTGATACCTTGTCTTAAGAGAAAAAGAAAACAAAGCACTAGCTACCCCTGTTTCCCTTGTATCAATGGATCTCCAGGTTTTCCATGCCTCCTCTGTCAAAATCAGGCCCCTCCTTCCCATCTCCAGCCCCAGGACGTTCCCCAGCAGGCTCTTAGCTGCACTCCTGGTATTGTCTTCCAGGGAATGTGGCTCAACATTCAGTCCTAGCAAGCACAGTCAGAACACCTGTGCCTGCAGCCAGCAGGCTCTCTGGATTCTGATTGGCCCAAGGGGTTTCCTAATTCTACCCTTTCTGGGGGGCCATCCTGCCA